CCGCAAGATTACAGGTACGCCTTGCTGACGAGTGCCAAGTAGCACGAAACCTGGGTCCAGGTTTTCCTGTTGACTACCTCCAACCACCATCTAAATCTCACTATACTGTTTTGACATATGCTTAGTTGTTTGAGGTGAACTCTTGACCAACCAACCTAAGCTGTTACAAGTCCAAATTCTTGCTGATAAATAATGGAACCACACTCATTTCCGTAATCTTGCAAGAAAAACCGAGCTGATGCCTATTTGTAAATAATTTGGTCATGGACACATCTCCCATTTTGTCCTCGGTCTCCGTACTTGTTCTCAAGGATTGTCTTCCGTTCCACTAGCGAGAAAAGCGTCTAACAAATTGAGATCCTCCTTGAGTTTTGAGGTGCTAAAATTAGTTCTTTGATGATAACGCCAAGCTATCTTCGTCTAAAACCGAGAGTTGGTTTTACTATGGCTGTATCCACAGTGTAGTTAACCCTGAAGATGAAGGCAGCTTATATTGCGTTCCATGAAGATATGTTGAGGAGAATAATCTTCTATGACACAAGACGTTTATTTCTGATGGATGCTCAACATAACACATGGATAGGATTTAAACTTGAATCTACTGTCCATCTACAATAATTCTGTTCGTATTATACACCGAGATGCCTGCCGCAAGGCTTCAGTGACTTGTCGCTACTAGAAACAGGTCTCATTAAGTGGAAGCTTTTTCTGTCCCATTCACAACCGATGGAACCATTGTTTAAACGTATCACGACTCCCGCGACCTAAGTTTCAGCGCTAGTTGTGGATTTCAGGGTATTTTATTGTTTTTTCCTCCTTTGTGAAGTGCTCTGTGTTTTTCCATTGCAATAAATCCGACATTTTATTTGATTCTCCTTTGTTGTGTCATGGAACACTGGTGTCATTTCACATTCCTTAAATTTGTTGTGACTGCTGCATAGTTCCACAAGCAGCTCCGTATATATGGAATTATTTCGAGTAATTTCATGAAATATATATTTTTTAATAGATAAGACCGACACTGTTCACTACAACGTGTCCATATTTCCGTTCGTTTACTTAGATACGGATATTATTTTTCGCCTAGGTCAAGAGTGCTCTTTTTGATACTAGATACGGAAGCCCGTTAAGCGAAAACTTCTATTCCGTCCACAACCATTTGAACTTCGAGGAAAAATTAGGTGATTTTGTAAAAAATCCATCTGAGGGAATGCAACAACACCTAAAATGCCCGTTGGCCTTTGGCTTCCATTCAAAATATTCCCGTTGTATGGGACAGAAAATTTACTCCGAATTGAGACGTTGGTAGGTTTGTATTTGTCAGGAAATGTGGGTTAATACCCACACATAATTACAAGTGTTCTCGAAAACTACCGATACTGGTAGAAATTTTCAACTTGGCCATCACCCATATTCACATAATTAGCTGGCAGTGTACGTATCATATGTTTTCCTTAATCGCTAGGGTACATCTAATAATTTAATCTAAACAATACTATGTAATGCTATAGATCCTACAGGGAGTTTTACAATTTTACAGACTTTCGTGTTAGAACTTCTGCAAACCTGTCATTAATGCCGACAAAAATCAGTTTTTCATCAATAATGTTTGTTGTTGACAATCGCCCTGGTGTACTCCAAACGTATGAAAAAGGTATCACATTTAAATTATTTGGTTGGATGTTATTACTTAGGATCTTGGCGTTCAGCGTACTTTACTTGGGTTGTAAGTTATTATTTTGAGGGTTAGTCAGTCAGTCAGTCAGCTACAACGTATGACCAGGCACGTATATGCATCGGTCCAAGTTGCCATACCTCATTAACACAACAAGATGGACACCGGATTCATAAAATTAGTTAATGCAGAGGTGGTAATATATAAAAGAAAGATTGCAATAAGGATATAGTACATGAAGAAGGAATTAGTTCGTATAAAGAAAGATATGAAGCGATTTCAATCTCTTAGTTTAAGGGAAGACAGGGAGTGTATACACCGACGCCATTGTGATCGATTCTGAGCCATGTCACCCAGAGTTTCCAACCATTGGTTACGATGGTCACGCGGACCCCAACAAAGTAGTTTGCATCTACCAACATGGCTAAGACTAGGAGTCGTGGTAATCGGTGTTCGGGCGTACGAAACACGTGGCCCAACCATCTCAGTCGATGAAGATTCACAACCTCATCAACTGATTTGCCATAATTCCCTAATACCCTGCGTCTAACCTCACTATGTTTACAGCTTAATTAACGAGTGTAAGACAGTCGACGAAGGCAACCAATCCATTCATCTTCAAATCTTAACTAACAAAACCTTGATATTGAGCAACTCAAAGTTGTTACTCACCTTATTATACCATATTTTGCCCCAGAATATGGCGAATATATTGATTATTAGCACATCACTCCACTATTACTTTTGGTAAGGACTACTTGTAGATTGCAAATATCCCGTCGTTGATGACTTGTTTAGAATGACTAGCCCGTATATGAATCAATGTCAAAGGTTTTCCTAAATCCTCAAATGCTATTTGTTGGTTCTTAAATCCATTTTTTACATAAATGTCTTTCGATTCGCGTTAGTTTGTTCGTCTACTTTTGGAACTATTAAGCGATGGTCTCTTGTTTTCCACTGAACGTTTTCGTCTATATAAAAGATCTGCTTTTCTTAGTCTTTAAATTTAGGTTTTCTAAGCGGTACCCCAACGCTTTTTATTGAGGTTTCTTTCTACTGCACGGGTTGCTGATCCTATGCCCAACCCTCCTTTGCCTGGGCTTAAATCTGTCATTAACCTCAGGTCTACAGGCGGAAAAAGACAATTTGAACCATTTAAACTCTGCTATGGGAGTTGGAGGGTTTCCACTAAGAAAAATTACACCTCATGGTAAAAGCCGAGATTCTCCGGAAGTCACGAAGCTTATGTAGGTACTTGGAATGTCCGGGCATCGTGGGAGATCGGGCGGACTATTCGAATAGCTACGGAGACGAGGAGATACAAATTGACGATGCTCGGATTAAATAAAATCCATTAGACCCAAGCTGGACAGAAAAGCATAGATTCGGGAAATGCTGTTGTACGCTGGTCATGAAGAAGAAAATGCTTCTCACACGAGCAGTTGTGCTGATTCTGTCGAAAGAAGCACAAACACTTATAGGTTGGGAATCTCATGAGTCCAGGGTAATCGAAATATCATCAAAACAAAGGGGATCACAGTGGATGTTACCCAGTTCTATGCACCTAACTGATGTGTGGTAGTGAAAGTATGGGTAGGGTTAGTCGTTGAACATGGACAAACAACCACAGCCCACGGTCTATTAAATATGTGATTTTCCTTTTATCATGGATTTTCACTCGAGAATCACCGTGTGATCGCTTGTCATTGTATTGAATAAGGTATTCTCTAGTTTTAATCTGGTTCTCTATTTTGAGTCGCGAATCCTGATTTTGGTATAACGTGATTATTAACGTATTATTATAATATACGTATGGGAGGAAAAAATATTGTAAACCATCCGTTATACCACTAACAATGATAGCAAGGAAGACGATAAAAGCCAGTTTTATGAGAGGCTGCAGTCGGTCGTACAGAAGTACCCAGGAAAGGATCTGACCATCCTGATGGGAGATCTAACCTTCATAGCCGGAATAGATAATATCAAGTATGAAGATATCACGGGACGACATGGACTGGAAGGAAGGGACGAGAATGGCGAGAGATTTGCAAATCTATGTGCTTTCAAAAAATTTTTTATGGGTAGCACTATATTTCCCCACGAACGCATACACAAAGCTATATGGGTCTCACTGTAATACACTACGGAGAACCGGATAGATCATATTTGTATCACTTAAAAATCCAGAAGGTCAATGGAAGACGTGAGAACCAAGAGAGGAGAGGACATAGCTTTAGATCACCACCTGGTTGTGGCCAAGGTGAAATTGAAACACTGGACAATCAGAGAAACACCATTAAAAAGGTTTAATACGGCTTTCTTTCGAGATATTAACAGACAAAGAATTCAAGATAGCTCTCAACAACATGTTACCAGCCTTACATGAACTCAAAAATGAAACTATTATGGCTAAAAAGTATTCTTTTCGTAGACGTAATGTCAGTTCGTGAATAAAACACTAAACGTAGATTTATTCCCTTACTCCTAACTTTCACATTTATTCGTTTCGAACCCAACAACCGTTTGGCATTCTACTTGTAGAATCGTTCGAGGCCGTACATATGCTTTCGTCCCACCGTATGCGTTATGTTTCTGATCTCGGTCTTGCTGTTTGAGACGTGGCCATGTGCTCTGTGATGTTGAAGCTCCATTCTACCATTTACAATTTCATCGCTAGTTTATTTTCCCTTTTGTGGTTCAGTTATGATTTTATTTGGAGTCTCTCGTACTACTTTGTTCTTATGGTATTTTAAACTTGATGTTCTACTGGTTTATCGATTTGATTGTTATCATAGTTTAGTTTTGCTAAACTTAACCATTGTTAAATAAAGTAACATTTAGTACACTTTTAATACTGTTCCCTCAATGTGTTGTGAGCAGCGCAAATTTAGGTCTGTGCTCACTTGTTACGCATGCTTAGCCATTACATACCTCAGTGTACTGGCGACGCCGAATTATATTAGAAGACTGTTATAGATGACCAAACCGATGTGTCACTAGTCTGTCTTATCATTGACTATTTTTTGAGCTATGTGATAAGGTGCATATATATATATATATATATATATATATATATATATATATATATATCATATACTCTAGTATTATATTTCGTTTTATATTAGTCTTTTCGATTTCTTACTCTTCTAATTTGGTTTGACTACTCGAACCTAGTCACACTTTTTGAATGACTGCTCAAGTACTCGATTGATAAACTTGTATAATATATTTTTCTTTTGAGATCACACGTTAAACTTATTACAGGTCTAAACTAAAAATAAATATTTTTTCACTCCGTTCACTACAGTAGCAAGTCAATTAGCGTATGATGCTACTTCCAAATGTATCGCGAGATTTGCAGATAGCAATTTTCAAAGCTTGTAAGTTGCTTATTTTCATTTCCATCTTCTAAAGACCCTAAAAATATAAAATCTCGTAATGATTGGTTTAGTTTTCTCAATCATATGGAAAGAAAAGTTAGATCATTGGATCGAGAGTCAACAGCGACTAACATACTTTTAAATTTATACAAAAGTGCTGTAGATGTAAGTTAATACATCAACAGTATATATACGTTTGTATGCTAGTCATTAGAGGTGGATTGGTCAGATGAAATTTATCTTACAATTTTTATCAGAACAGCAGTTTTAGCATCATATGAGTAAGTTATTTATTTTAGTTATAATTTAAACTTAGGAATTCGGACTGCGGTCCTGCATTTCTGAGCTTATGTTCTATAAATGGACGTCGAAATCCACAGTTGATTGCGGCCGTAGCTTATTATTATTCTAAACAAGGTAAGTATCTGATTATTATCAGCTCATTAAAATTTCCAGGAGATAAAAATAGAGCTAAAAGTCTTTTAAACTCTACAAAAAAGTGTGTAGACATATGTGGGGTGGAATTGTTGTGTAGAGCCGAAAGTATGCTAGATACAGACGATGATTTCAAATCGTTATTAGGACCATTTTACTACAAACCAGACTTTTATTTCCAAGGTGAGATTTCTATGGTAGATAATAATTGATTATTTCAACTAGATATAAATTGTTCTCAGGCAAGTTCAAGTGAAATTTCTTCAGTTCTGGATTCTACTTGTCCAAATGAGTAAGTCTATGTTAACCACTTAAGGATTTCTGAACATTCCATATCAATCAGTAACAACGTAGAACTTCGTACGTACGTACATCAGTTCAAGTTGCCATTCCACATTAGCACAGAGATGCAGTTGTCGATTCAAATCCCATAGTGGTAGAGGTGGTGAGAGTATAAGCAGTAATCGAAAACATTAGGGTTTAAAGATGTTATTCAAGGAGTATAATCCAATGAAACAAATTTGGAAAGAGGAAACAAGGGATATGAAGAATTCAGGAGATAAGAATTTGGGAGAACACAGAGTGGATGGACCCGCGCCATTGCAAACGATTTTGAGCCATGTCATTCAGGGTTTCTAGCCATCGGTCCCTAACCATGTTGTCTACACCTACCAACATGGCTTAGTCCACTTGTCAGTGACTTCATGGATTTGTGCCACGTTTTGGTCTGGCCACCCCTAGCTTTCTTCCAATCTGCTCCTACACCATAAAACATTGCACGTCGGGGCAGTCGGTGGTTGGGCATACGTAACACGTGTCCCAGCCATCTCAACTGATGAAGTTTCACCACTTCATCAATCGATTTGTCATCCTTACCTAGTACCCGTTTCCTAACAACTGCATTACTTACTCGATGCTCCCAGGATATACGAGCAATGTTTCGAAGACACCTATGATCAAATACTAGTAACCTACGGATATCCTCTACTCTTACCGGCCATGTTTCACTACCATAAAGTAGGACGGAACGAACTGCTGCGCAGTAAACACGTTCTTTGGTTGATAGACGGATATCTCGCCTACGCCATAAATGACGCAAGTTGGTAAAAGCTAGTCGAGCCTTCTGTATCCGTGCTGAGATTTCGTCACACACCAGACCACAAGGGCTGACGAGACTTCCAAGATAAGTGAAGCGGTCAACACGTTCAACTACTTTACTCCCTATCATTAGTTGGGGTGTCGAAGCAACCCAATCCTGAAGCAACATTTTGCATTTTGAGGTGGAGAATCGCATCCCGAACATGTTTGCATTGTTGCTCATGGTAGTCAAAAGACTGCATTTTGTCAGCGTCTTCACCAAATAGAACTATGTCATCGGCATATTCTAAGTCAGCAAGTGAATCTCCCGGTTAAAGTTCAACCCCTGGAAATTTAGATGAGGAAAGTGTCATCTCCAAAAGCATGTCTACGATAAAGTTGAACATTCCATATTATCAAATGTGTGGTACTAAGCCCATCCTTCTAGTGAATACTATCGTAATATCAGTCCATCTATGCAACTTAGCTTTCTGTATCTTACGATTATTATTATTATTATTATTATTATTATTATTATTACTATTATTATTATTATTATTATTATTATTATTATTATTATTATTATTATTATTATTATTATTATTATTATTATTATTATTATTATTATATTATTATTATTATTATTATTATTATATTATTATTATTATTATTATTATTATTATTATTATTATTATTATTATATTATTATTATTATTATTATTATTATTATTATTATTATTATTATTATTATTATTATTATTATTATTATTATTATTATTATTATTATTATTATTATTATTATTATTATTATTATTATTATTATTATTATTATTATTATATTATTATTATTATTATTATTATTATTATTATTATTATTATTATTATATTATTATTATTATTATTATTATTATTATTATTATATTATTATTATTATTATTCTTATTATTATTATTATTATTATTATTATTATTATTATTATTATTATTATTATTATTATTATTATTATTATTATTATTATTATTATTATTATTATTATTATTATTATTATTATTATTATATTATTATTATTATTATTATTATTATTATATTATTATTATTATTATTATTATATTATTATTATTATTATTATTATTATTATTATTATTATATTATTATTATTATTATTATTATTATTATTATTATTATTATTATTATTATTATTATTATTATTATTATTATTATTATTATTATTATTATTATTATTATTATATTATTATTATTATTATTATTATTATTATTATTATTATTATTATTATTATTATTATTATTATTATTATTATTATTATTATTATTATTATTATTATATTATTATTATTATTATTATTATTATTATTATTATTATTATTATTATTATTATTATTATATATTATTATTATTATTATTATTATTATTATTATTATTATTATTATTATTATTATTATTATTATTTGAACACATAGATATTGGTACAAGGAGGCACCAAATACATATGAGCCAAACAAATCTCATTTAAATTGTGTGAAGGCTGTGATACTGCTCGGGTGCCCAAACGGAAGCAGGTGGTTTTCTTAAGGGGCCACACCCGGAGCCTTCGACCTGAAGGTCTGATCCACAAGGCAGTGGAGTATCGTAAGGAGATGCAGTCCTATGGTAGCCGGTGACCAACAATTGGTTCATACTCCACTTGTTCTTTCAGGATACTGGAGCCAAGGTGCACCATTGGTTTGGAATCATGGTTTTCCAACTACCCTAGGTGGGCTTTCCATGTTCACCAACCCGGTTAAAGCGCCGGACATTCACTTTACGTCCTCTCACTTTCGTAAACAACACCCTCATCACGAGAAGACAGTGAGTAGGACTTCCCTGGCAGAGGCTATATAAGCATGGTCATGTGAGAGCATTTCGAGAGGGAGAGCGGACTCTCCCCACTCTCGGCCGTACCAAGGGCTTTACGATCAGATAATTAGTAAAAGAGGTTCCCAAGAAGAAATCAGATTTCAGCCAAATTAGTACATAGCAAGTTGTTGTTGAACTGTTAAGCATGGAAGTCGTTGGGTGAATTATATTCGTAAAGATCTCAGCATCGGAAGTTAAGTAGTCTCAATGTCTCGGTCGGAAATGTAGCCTGAGCTGCGTCACAAAAATAATCATAATCGATATGTTAATAAAGGGCCTCGCATTTAATCACATCATTCGTGACTTGTATATGACCTAGTACTAACCAACTTATTCGACTTCCGTCAACATAAGTTGTACCACATCAAGGTACTTATCTACTTTAGTATAGTTGCCCCGACCGTTTGTTGCTACCTTGACGTGGTGGTCGGGCTTGCCTATCGTGATGAACCAACCGAGCTATACTGGCTGGAACAACCGTTCCTCGAGGTCCTACCATGTCAGACAGGTCGGTTAAAGAGCGGTAAGACTAAAAGCAACAAACCCAAGGTCCGAAGGCGAAGTCGTACTGCTGACTGTACAGAGGTGTGACAGCAGTAAGGTGCTTCCTTCAGACAACCAGCGTGACAGCGATGCTGCCTTCCCACAAGGAGGGGTGGGGTTAGAAAAGGTCGACCCTAAAAATGTACACCTCGCCTTATCCCACGGATATCCGTTTCCAGCGGTAAGGTCTCAGCAAGTACGGAGCTAACACAAAAATTACCCATAACAAGGTCGTGTGTGACCGACCTCAAGCAGTTGTCACTTGGGCACTGCGGTCACGCTCTTAGGTCACTAAGACCACCTCTAATCCAATTTCCTTTTCAGGTACCTCCAGAAGAACCCTTCCACGGTGTGTGCGACCGGGAAGTGATAACCGCACTCATACCTCTAACAGCACTCAAGACCACTTTATTCATAATCAACGTCTTTCTTCAGTTCCTATTATTTTTCCTACGGCGACCTTCAGCACTAAAGTTCCTCTTTTGACTTCCTCCTCAAATATCATCATAGCCAACGATTCTAGTGCTCAAAACACTGTCCCAGGTCTACTGAAACCTCGCTCCAAACTACAAATTGGAGCCTTCAACGTACGCACCCTTTGTCAAATCGGTCTGCAGGCCTCTTTGGTTGGGACTCTAGAATCTCGTACCATTGATGAACACTGCGTCTCCGAAACACGTATACTGGATCTTAGTGTGGTCTTTCACTTGACCCCACCTCGCCAAAACGAAGAGCCGACGAGATACACCCTCCGTGTATCTGGCGACCCGATGGTCAGTTCGTGTGGACTGGAAGGTGTAGAAATAGAACTCAGCACGAGGGTGGAACAAGCACTATGAGAGTGGATCCCTGTTAACCGTCGTCTATGTGTTGTTCGATTAAGCGGCTCCATAAGAACTCGGAAGGATAGGGAAACACGTCGTTGCCTTTTCGTCGTTTCTGCCTACGCTCCCACTGACTGCGACACGGACGGAGTGAAAGATGACTTTTACAGAAAGCTTCTTCAGAAAGCTAAACGCTCAGACATAGTACTCGTAGCAGGTGACTTTATTCCCCAGATGGGTAGCTTAAACCAAGCAGAAAGACATTTAGGTGGGTATTTTAGTATCCCACCTCAGCGAACAAATAATAGTGATCGTCTGCTGCATCTGTGCTCAGACAATCGTTTATTTTTAGCAAGCACAAATTTTAAGCATAAGGAGAGACATCGTCTAAGATGGCGACCCCCAGCACCAAACCAACGATGGACTCAAATAGACCATATTACCATCAGTCATCGTTGGAGAGGGTCGGTAGAAGATTGTCGCTCATTGTGGAGTACCTGCTTGGACTCCGATCATGCGCTAATACGGGTAAGCATCTGCTTGCGCCTCACTGGACGCAAAAAAGCCACACTAGAAAGACCCATTAGAACTGAATTGAGTAACGAGAAAACCAAAAGTAGGTCCCAGGAAGAACTGAGGTCACACTTAGGTAGTTCTGAAAACGAGGCTGACCCAGATGTTGCTTGGAAAGATTTACAAGCAGCTGTGAAAACAGCGGTGATATCTAATAGTGACTTAAACAAAAGGGTTACAAAGAACCATTGGATTCTTTCAAGGTCTGTTGCACTGGTGGATTCTCGTAAACTCGTCCCATCAGGCTCTGAACACGATGATGAAAGAAAGAAAATCAGATCTAGGTTAAGCAAAAGTCTAAGGAACGACCATGAGCAGTGGTGGGCAACGAAAGCGAAAGAGATGGAAAAGGCGGCGGCTATAGGGAACACAAGACAGCTCTACAAACTAATAAAAGAAACTGGAATTAATAAGTCAAGTGTAAGTCAGACTATTTCGGAAAAAGACGACACTCTCATCTGCTCTCAGTCCAGACGTTTAGAACGATGGGCGGAACATTTCAGAGAACAGTTCAGCTGGCCTTCAGCTACTCTACAACTACCCTCCATTCCCAGACAGTGTGAATGGAACATTGAAGTAGGTCTCCCAACTCTAGCAGAAGTTCAAAAGGCTATAGTTAATCTGAAACGAGGAAGGGCAGCTGGTCCAGAGGGATTGGCTCCAGAGGTCTTTAAGGTTGGTGGTCCAATTTTAGCGATTAGGTTGACTAATATTTTAGCTAAGATCTGGGAGTTAGAAGTTATCCCATCTGACTGGTCACAATCACTTATCGTCCCAATATGTAAGAGAGGGTTAAAATCATCCTGTGATAACTATAGAGGGATTAGTTTAACTAATTTAGTATCTAAAACACTAGCCTCGATAATTCTCAGACGCCTAACTAAGACTCGAACTGCAAACACGAGAGAATCAAGCTGGCTTCAGACCTGGTCGTGGCTGTATCGACCACGTATTCACTATTCGTCAGGTTTTAGAGCTCAGACATGCTTATTGGCGTCCGACAAGGATAGTTTTCCTTAATTTAAAAGCAGCACTTGACTCCGTGGACCGAGAGGTTCTGTGGCAGTGTGTCATTGAAAGGCGTACCTCGGAAGTACATAAACCTTGTGAAGGCTCTTTACTCGAACACTACCAGTCGAGTCAGAGCTTATAGCGAACTGTCATCTACTTTTGCAACCTCAAGTGGTGTCTGGCAAGGCTGTCCACTCTCTCCATTTTTGTTTAACTTCATCATAGACCTACTGATGGAAATAACATTCTCGTCGACTGAACTCTCGGGTATTGATCTCCTTCCAGGAGGTCCATTTATCGACTTAGAATACGCAGATGATATAGTCCTGTTTGGTGAAGACGTTGATAAAATGCAGTCTTTTGGTAGTACTGAGCAACAATGCCAGGATGTTTGGGATGCGTTTCTCCCCATCTAAATGCCAATTGTTGCTTTAGGACTGGTCTGCGTCAATACCTGAACTAAGGATAGGGAGTGAAGTAGTCGAACACGTAGACAACTTTACTTATCTTGGAAGTCTGATCAGACCTAATGGGTTGGTGTCTGACGAAATCTATACACGGATTCGAAAAGCTCGATTGACGTTTACCAACTTACGTCACCTATGGCGAAGGCGAGATATCTGTCTATCAATTAAGGGATGAGTGTACTGCTCGGTAGTTCGTTCTGTTCTACTTTACGGCTGCGAAACATCGCCATTAAGAGTAGAAGATACTCATAAGTTACTGGTATTTGACCACAGATGTCTTAGAAATATTGCTCGCATCTGCTGGGATCATCGGGTACGTAATAGTGAGGTTAGGCTTAGGGTATTAGGGAATGGTGGTAAATCAGTTTATGAGGTTGTGAATCTTCATCGACTGAGATGGTTGGGCCACGTGTTACGTGTGCCTGAACACCGATTACCACGACGTGCATGCTAACCGGCGTTCGGGATGGTTGGAAGAAAGTTAGGGGCGACCAAACCAAAACGTGACATCAGTGCTTGAAGTCACTAACTTCTAGTCTTAGCCATGTTAGTAGATGCAGAATACTTTGTTGGGGTCCGCGTGACTATCGTAACCAATGGTTGGAGACTGTGAGTGAAATGGCTCAGAATTGATCACAATGGCGTCGGTGTATACACTCCCTGTCTTCCCTTAAACTAAGAGATTGAAATCGCTTCATATCTTTCTTTATACGAACTAATTCCTTCTTCATGTACTATATCCTTATTGCAATCTTTCTTTTATATATTACCACCTCTGCATTAACTAATTTTATGAATCCGGTGTCCATCTTGTTGTGTTAATGAGGTATGGCAACTTGGACCGATGCATATATATGCCTGGTCCTACGTTGTAGGTGACTGACTGTATAGTTGCTGCCTATTTTTCTAGAAATATTGAAGTTATATTATTTCATCTTAATAACTTGTGGTGTGTACAATAGTGGCTTATCTGTTTTAACATTCTTTATGAACTAATGATCTGTGTTTGAACTCATCCTCATCTATTTTCATTTAGTTTTTCAGGTAATACCTCTAGTTTAAATTTGTATACTGGTTTATTCACTTAGTTACTAAGCTGTATTAATTCGTGAAATCATGTATGAGTGATCAGTATTATATTTTTTTATACCTGCCATTTAAAAGAACTTGACGTCATAAACCAGATGTGTGTCCAAAAAGAAACAGTAATAAGTCTTTCTTTGCCTCGGTAACATTACATCTTTTTTATTGCATTATTCATTATTTCAACTCTTTCAAGCTTTGATTACATCACTGCCATCTTTCTTTAGTTCGTAGTTTTCATTTGAACTGACTGATTTCAATCTTTATTACCATTAACATGTTTACAGTTACCTCACTACACAATCATCTATTGTTTGTTAACGCTATGAATCCTAATCACTACTTTGGTGTTCTGATACCTCCCTCTTCACTTTATTTATTTAAGCTTTTTTATGACCTTATCAACTCTATTGGAATTTTCGCTTCACTATAATACACATATTCATCTCTAATCACCTTTGTATTTATAAGTATGTCAATATATATAATAATATAGGTTGTATGCAGCTGATGAGAACCTAACAAAATGAAATGAATTCTTATCATTCTGCACCAATCATTGTTTTTGGTCTTTTTAATGTTGTTTAAGCCTTATGTTTTTGGGTAACATGTTTCAGCATGATTAACTGTGACACTGCATTCACTCCCTATCTTCCATACTTACGTTTCCATTCTGTCTTCCCAAAGGATATTTCCAATGTTCAATCTTTCTAATTACCATTTCTACCACATCATTTTGATTCCTCTTAGTATTCATCTAGCCATAATAATATGGTATGCCTGGTTCCACGTTAATTATAATTGACTGATTGATTTAACCCTGTATATTAGAAATCACTATAGTTATTGCAAAGTTTCTGTTAGCCGAATACAACTTCCTATTATATATTTGCAATTTTTGATTCCTTTCAGTTGAAAATGTGTATAAGGTCATTTTACCAGAGTTGCTAGTTTATATCTCAATTATATCGAATCAGAAAATTAATAGATCAAGTTCACAAATTCTGAATCGGTGGTTAGACTTTAGACTGATTGGTTCGTACATGTGTACATTGGATGTTTTTCCGAATGGATACTTGAATACAGGATAATTCATATTTCATTTTAAGAATATCAATTGAGCAGCATCTAATGTATTTTTTTAGTTTTACAGATTCCTTTTAAGCCCGTGGAAATGTTTTGATCATTGAAATATTTTCCTTCGTAAATTTATTCTAGTCACACAGAAGAACGTTCTCAGTCTGTGATAGACATCAATTTTGAACCGGATGGAAATTCACCAAACTATCCTAGTAATTGCAATGCAGTTGAATCAATACAAATAATTGGTCCATCCAGGGTAAGTTATAAGATGTACATTATAGCAACTCACGTGCAATTGAGTCTGTTCTCATTTAACTCAGTCAAGCTCTTTTGTTAACTTATTTAGCGGACAAAGTCATCCGTACTATAACAACTTATTGTACCTTTTATTATTTGTTGTGCTTGTATGAAATATGTATGCTTGAATATCGCTTACCGCCTACGCATATATTCACTCTGCTAGCTTTATTATTAGCTGCTCAATTGATTCGGTGATCCATTCATTTCCCTATATATATATATATATATATATATATATATATATATATATATATATATATATATATATATATATATATATATATATACATGTACATTTACACTCTTACACCCTCGGTTCGCTGACTCATTCATTTGCCTCCCTGCTTTGTGGTCTGAGTTATTTGTTAATAAAACTAGTCGTTACTTCTCTTTGCCTTCTGACTTCAAACACCGTTGAACATTACGTGATAACGGTTACGAGGGTGATTGGTCAACGAAGCACAGCCACTACAACCTGAAAAAATCATGGGAATTCGACCAAATGAATATAGATTTTGCTTTTTTAATGATTTTTATTTTCAATGTCGATTTTCAATAATTGAATGATAACTTGAATAACAATGTTCTTGTATGTATATCTAATGGATCAGTTAAACTGTCACGTTCAGTAGTAATAAATATTTAGAAAAGTTGGATTACCACCAGCTGCGCCATGGCACTTAATAATCATATAAGCTTCATTAAAGGTCCTAAACCTTATTTCCCCTATATTTTAATTAAGGAAACAATAAATGATCTCCACTATATTTTACTTTGAAATATATCTTAAACTAATAGAAAGAAATTAGTAAAGGTATTATACGTGAAAATTATATTCTAAATAATTTCACTGATTGAAATTTAAATAATCCCAACGTTTCATCGAGCAAACTTGTCTAAACTTCTTCAGAGTAATATCAGCCTATTTTTATCAAACTGTTCGTTCTAATATCGACGAATATTCGTATAAGAAATTGGTAACTTTGAAAACAATTTCTTATCAATTTTCGACATAGATGTTATTTCGTTAGGTCCTCCCAAAATCATGTCTATTCTGACTAATGTTTTGTTTTACCATGTCTTTGTGTGTGCGAATGATAAATCTGTGGTTCAACGAAACCTCATGAAACCAGATATCAACCTGTCATCAGTTTTTATAGAATTTTTTAATGTTTTGTTTCATATTCAGGGTCTGACACTAAAGCAAGGCGAACTTGTATGTTCATGATGAGTAACAAACATCTGGGACTTATTTTTCAGAAAACGTGTGAAAAGTGTTTCCCTTAATTTTTCAGGATTCATATAATTTTTCCCGGTCCCTCAAATTACCAGGGCTTCCAGAAGAATTGTCAGTTACTTCAGGTAAATTATTCTTTTATTCTTGTACTCCTTTACTTTTATGGTCATCAGGCCGGGCTTATAGTTCACATTCTATAAATCAAATAAACTTCACAGTGTAGGATTTGACGATACAGTTCAGTTTTTTGTAAGCAGGTTTTTTCAAAACCTTAGTGAAAATAAATCAAGATGGCACTAATCAATTGGTGTGTTTTATTCGTTATATAATAATCTCAGTTGATAGACCATTGAAAACTAAGGAGCACTTCATAACCATCTCATCCTAGTATAATACACCTGGACAGTGTACACCCACAGTCCCCCCAAAGATGGAACCTAGGTCCGTCAGGTCTTGCAGCAAATGCTTAACAAGTTAAACCAATCCCTTTAAAACCCAACCAAGGAATCGGTTAAATTAGAAATGGATAATGTAATTTGTATGACAAACTGTTATGTCCGGACGAAGAATAACAGAATGGTAACTGCTAGGAATTGCTTATGAACTGTTATATATATTCTTATTGGATAGTTGTTAAGTCAATAGATCATATATGTGTTCATGCTTCTTTTGTCACAAGCCTTCATTTGACACATTGGCTACTATTATACGATTTAGTGTTTGTGATTTATTCCCAACCTATTAGTCAAAGTGTTCTATACTCACAATCATTTTTAGCTTGATTTTATATAATTGATATTTTTCATTTTATGGCATGATTTGGTCTGGTCTGCTTGTATATAAACCACGTATGTCTGTAATATACGATTCATACGGTGGGGGAGGTGGATATTGGACTCAATGGGCATGTATAGGCGATAAGTTACTAATATCGAGGACCAATAAAGATTCCGAGTTGACTCAAGACTGCTAGTGCTTGTTGACGTGCCATTGGTCTGGCACAGGGACAAATTCATAGAAGTCGGTATTCTGAATAATTAACAGAGCCATAAGTCATAAAACAAACATCGTCTACTCTGTAGCGCCCAACTTTGAGAATTGATAAAGAAATCAATGACTAGAGAGACCTGGAATTAAGATTTATTACCAATGTTCCGAACGCATGCACTTTTTATTTATTTATGAAGAAATTAGACTTTACTGTTGTGGTTGTGCCATATGTTTTCGATGATATGTGTGCACCGAGGTTTCTAACATTATCCTCCACTGTATGTGTTATTTTGTTGAATTTTTCCGTTGAATTCACTCGTATGGTTATGTTTCTTATTTTAAACTAATAGCGCTGATCTTGAGTAATATATATATATATATATATATATATATATATATATATATATATATATATATATATATATATATATATATATATATATATATATATATATATCATTGGATGATCCATCTTATCTACACTAAATTTTGGTTACTGTTTCAAATATATTAATTTATGATCTTAATATAGTCATTTATCTCCTGAATGTCACTGTTTATTTTCTTTTATTCATAACTTAATCTTTTCTCCTTTCCTTCTCTCTCTCTATACTATCTGTTTCAGTCACAAGTAATCCACATATGGAATCATTACAACAGCCTGAACTATCCACCATCGTTGGTTCGATCAAATTGAATGGAAGTTGCGAAAAGGTATTTCCGTTTAATTCGGTATGTTTTTTCCTTATTTTCTGACTAGTATAATGCGGAGAAATGTGTGTAGGATGTATAAACTAATAGTATGTTTAACCGTGTATAATCTTAATTGTTACATACGTTTTGTGATTCGCTAGTTTTCTTGATGTAGGTGCAAGTTGGAAGAAAGCTAGGGGGTAGCCAAACCAAAATGTGGCATCAGTCTATGAAATCACTGACTAGTGAATTGAGATATGTTAGTAGGCGGCAGCTACCAGGTTACATTGGCTTTACTCAGAATCAGTTGCAATGTCTCTGAGGCACTACTTTATATTCCCTCAGATAAAAAGTTTTAGAATTATTTTATATTTCTTATTCTATGAACTTATCCTCCCTGAACCACTTCGTCCTTGCCTACTGTTTTTTTCTACCACTGATTCTGTTACTACTTGTAGTTTTTGGTACTTGCCTTGATGATCTCATCTCGTCATGTTAATATGATGTGGCAACTTAACACTTTACCTCATTCAAGCACCTTAATTAAACACTTAATCAGCTATTTAAAATTATGTATTTTCAAAATTCATGATCGTATAGTTTTATACAGCTTGAAAGTTTGACAAGCGTTGGTGTCCTCGTAGTTTTTCGATGGATTTTTATTGTTTTTTTACGTACCCATTTTTTCAAGATACGTAGTTTTTCGTATACTATATGCTGTAATAGTAAGTTTCACTTCTCTTTCTTGCATGATCGACAGTTACCTTCCACATACATATTCGTATTAGATGTATCACATACTATATCTTAGAAGTTTTTAGATTACAAAAAAATCTAGGAAATCTGTATCATCATATTTGTACGGGTTTGTATTTTGTTTATGTTGCGGGCTGAAATCCCTTAGTCTTTTCGGGTTATGTTCATGTTGAGTGGATTGCCTCGATATTGACATTTAGTCTCAACGCCTCAGTAAAGTTGAGTAGTGATCAACAGTGGAATTCATGACACACCTTTCGTTATACTCGAGACTCGTCAGCTGAGTGTATCTGTATTTCAGTATCGATTTTCACACTGAGATTTGAACACATTGCCTTTCGTTTCAATAAGTAATTAATTATCCACTGAACTACTGTGTCCATACAGTCACTAATCAGCCTTACCAAAAATTATCGTCGCTTCATTACTCTTCATTGAAACCGATCTCTGTGAATATATTAAGTGATTTAGTCTAAGTACTGTTACTCAATAATCATTCAAGAAACTTGCCGTCATAGGCTCGATCTTTATTAAGGCCATCACTATACATTAATGTTGCCGTCCAATACTCTCTGGTCTTCAGTTCGTTTTATGGAGTACAAAAATTTCATTTGACCAAATATTTAGGCGATATCCTTAGAAGTTGTGTAACCGCAGCTTTGTGAGCACTGTTTTCTGCGTTTCTGCGATACATATAAGTAGATAGATCGATTGTAGTTACTTTATTCATTTGATGTTTTTTCCACTTAAACGCCTGGTAGCGACTCAACGCTTTTGTCTTTTAATCACCCCAATTTATTATTCAGGATAAGAAATTGATTTCTGTCGGTGTGCAAACTGAGCTGGTCAATGAAAGTGAACAATTTATTATTGTTAATGGTAAAAAGTATCAAGTAATTAATGAATTGGGACGGGGAGGTTCATCAGTGGTAAGTAGTTGATCCAACATTTACCTATCTTATTTATGTGTACTTTTCTTTCAAATAGCTTAACCACGGAGTTCATGATCGATAAATATTCTGTCATGGTCTGTTGATAGATCTAACACATCATCTAGATCAAAGCTTACGTAGAAATCAGGTGAGAAGACTTATATTCTGTTTAAGTGACATTGAAGTCCAACTTGTCAAAGATCACGCCACGTTCATCTATTCATGATTATAGTGTGTTTGCATGAACGGAGACATAAAATATACATTTCTTTTATACTATTGGTATTGTAGGAAGCAATTTCCTACAGGTTTAATTCTGAGCTATTTCCTAGGCCAAAGCCAGAACAAGCAAGCTATTTGGCTAGATAAACTTTATCTGTTTCTAAAATATAAATTAACATCGTTAGTGTACAAACAAACAGTACGGTCTATTAATACAGGGAAAAACAGAGACAAATAACATATCGAACAGTAGCCAAAGAATAGGGAAAATGAGTCACAAAGCAAATATTGTTTTACAATGAACATCAAACTGCGATTGGTTAATAAAGAGATACAGTCGCACAAGGTCAAAGGGAGTTAATGTGGTGGTGGGCGTTTCACTTTATTATTGGTGGGTTCGTCCATCGATTACATTTTACACTCTACCCGAAACGCGCACCACGTCCGTTGTCCAGGGTCGTCGTCGCCGTCAGACAGACGGCTCCTTCTAGTAGACATAAGCTTCGTACGTCCAGAACAGTTTCTTCGTTTGCGGTTCTCAATTTCGCCGTACGAACTTGTCCGTCAGAGCCATAGCTTACTTGTTCGACGATAGCTTGGGGCCATAAACTTCTCAGTGAGCCAACATTGTTTACTAACACTAAGTCTCCAGAAGACTCATCCATCAATATCTTCTGAAACAATAATGATCGCAGAATTCTTCTTATCGACTTAATGATGCGTCCTCATACACTGCCTCGTTGACTAGCCCTTGGAAGTTTAAAGCGCCATCCACAACCTCTCTAAAAGGGCATTTACTGTCTTATTCTGGTTCCAACTACACATGATCTGTCTAAGAATAGCATTGGATCCTACAGAACTACCAGATGTACCCTTACTCTTGTTCACAACTCGTACAAGGGCGCCTTTCTCAACACCATCCTCGATACCACGGCGAATATGTGATACCTGCTTCTTCAGGGTCTTAGATACTGGCTTCTTTGTTACAGTGGCCTTCGGCCTTTTCGTAGTCTTGACTTTCAGTTTGGTGTCCTTCTTTTCCTTAAGCTTTCTTAGAGTTGATTTGGGTTTATTAGCAGATGATGCTTCAGTTTTTGGCTTAACAACCTTGTACTTGGTTAATAAAAACGAAGAATGAACTTGACGAGAGAGATTTTCGGAACGAGTATACTCCGCGACACCATATGCAGATTCTGATAATGCTATACGATCTTCCACAGACATCGATGAAGTACGACTAAGTGGGTCTTTGAATTCAGTAATTCCTCTTTAGCTGAGAGGTGGTTGAGTGCACGATTGCTTTCGCAGGGTTCCCCATAGGAACCAAACAGCGTCTAACCTAACAGAGTCTTCACGGCAAATGGTTCATTCGGCTTTCCAGTTCTTATCTCTTTCATTTCGTGTACACTCGGTGCGTTGCACCCGATCAACGGTTTGACATTCTCATCCTCTACTCTCGGGAAACTTATGTCTTTTCAATGCGTCCAGGATGTCATTTGAGATGTCGTTGATACCGTCCTGCACAACATAAGTAATCTCCCGACTGGTGGAGTTTTGTTCTCTGAGCTGGATGGTTTGATCGTGGAGCTTTCATCGTTCTTCTGAATGACATCATCAGCACAAACTTCAGATAGGAGTGAAGTGTTCGAATTTATCCATATGTGTTTCACAGCTTGTTCTGTGCACCTCGATGTTGATTGGTTCTTATTGACCTTAAATTTGTTATTGTTTACTTCTTTGTTTTGGTTGTGTCTCCCATTGGTTTGATTTTTGTTCCTATATTTATGCATGATTTTCCTAATTGGTTGATAAATTGGATTGATTTCAATATGTTTGTTGATTGCTGATTGACCTGAGTGCCGGGCTTCTGAAAATTCTCTGGTGTTTTTGGAGTTTCCTCTGTCTAAGATTTCCACATCTTTCCAATCGAGTGAGTGTCCGTAGTTGTCCACGTGTATTGATATAAGTGAAGAGATATCGCGGCGTTTGACTGCTAATTGATGTTCATGTAGGCGAAGGTGAAGGGGGCGTCCGGTTTGTCCAATGTAGTGTTTTTCGCAGTTGGTACAATTTATTTTGTAGATGATGTTTGATTTGTCTTCCTTTTTATTTCATCTTTTGGTTTGCATAGGATTGATTGTAGTGATTTTGTCGGTTTGTGTGCCACACCTGTTCCGAAAGTTTTCAGCAGTCTCGTTGCGGTTTCTGATATTCCTTGTCTATATGGTAGGGTGATCCTTCTGTTGATTTTTGTGCTTGACTTGAGTTCTAATGCTGCGTGCGGTTGGTATATTTTGATGAAGTTTATTGGGTAGCCGTTCTTCTGAAATACATCCTTCAGGTATTTCTCTTCATTTCTTCGTGCTGCCAGTGTGCTGCAGTGTGTCCTCGCCCTCTTGAACAAATTGTGTACGCAGTTGATTTTGTGAGCTCTAGGGTTGTTGCTATTGTAGTTGAGAATTTGATCTGTATGGATCGGTTTCCTATATACTTGAGTTTCCAGTTTTCCTGTATCGGTTCTAGTGATCAATATATCCAAGAATGCTAGTTTGTTGTTTGACTCCTGTTCCATTGTGAACTTGATGTCATTGAAAACGTTGTTGATCAGTTTGTATGTGTTTTCCAGTTCATCCTTTTTGACGATGACGAAGGTGTCGTCTACGTAGCGAATCCAAATTTTTGGCTTGATCACTGGTAATATAGTGGCTTCTAGTCTTTGCATAACTGCCTCTGCGATCAGTTCTGATATTGGTGATCTCATTGATGTCCCTTTCGTTTGTTCGTAGATTTTGTTGTTGAATTGAAAATATGTTTTCAGGCATAAATCGATGAGTTCCAGTAGACTTTGAATTTGAAGCTTCGTGTATTTATTGAGATTTGTGTCGTTGTTGAGCAGCAGGGATATAGTTTCTTTAGCTAACTGTGGTTCAATTGAGGTGAACAGTGCTGTAACGTCGAAGGATATCATGAGTTCGTCGTTGGGGATTTGATGGAGTGGTTGGCTGAATCTACTAGATGTCTCAGTATTCGTGAAATTTCTTTTGACAAATTGTACTTTGGTGTTCCGGGGAGTGCTACAATTGGACGTAATGGAATGTTTGGTTTATGTATTTTGGGTCTGCCGTAGAATCGTTGGAATACTGGTCCACTGGATTTCATTCTCCATTGGTCTTGTTTTGTTAATTCTCCTGCTTTGACTAGCTTGTTTAAAGTCTTTGATATTTGGTTGTCTAATTTTTTGACCATCTCAATTTCTCGACTGTCCATACGTTTGGGATTCTAAATGATGAAGACGAATCTAAGGAGGAAACCTCTAGTTGAACCTCTTTACACTGAAATGTGGACTGGTTATCCAACGTTTTCAATAAAATCGTCTTGGACTCTCCTAAATCCAACCTTCTAGTTAGGTCTTCTGTAATAAGCGAAGCATCCGACGCACTATCTAGGAAGGCGCAAGTCTGTACTACCTTTTCTCCATTTCTTACCAGTACAGGCACTTTTGAGAATGCTGCTTGTTTCTGTACACGCTCAACACTTTTCTCCGTACATAGCTGAGTGTTGATGTAGGCATCAATATTAGTATTCTTTTGCTCTTCCCGCAACTCGTGTAACAGGGTATGGTGTCTCCAGCCACACCCTTCGGCAGCACACGACCTCGGCGATCGACAGTTTTTTGCTACGTGGTTTGCCTTCAGACATACATTACACAACTTGTGTCTAAGAACGAATTCCTTCCTTTCTCTAACATTCTTGTCTTTAAATTTCTGACATTGATCTAAAGAATGATTACTGAAGCACTCCAAACAAGATGAACTGCGTGAGGGAGCATTATCATCATTACTACCGCGGTTGACAAATAAGCCGTACCTAGTATTAGCTATATCAGCTTGCTCCTTTACAAACTCAACAAGATCGGTAAACAGAGGCTCTCGGCCTCCTCTGATAATCTTATAAGCTACCTTTAGTCACTCTTGTTGAATGTGCGTTGGTAATTTCAGAACCATAGTTTCAATAGTTCTAGAAGAGTTCAAGCCAGAAACGTAATTCATCTGTTCGAGAGTCAAACTACATGCTTGCATTTCTCGAGATAAACTCCTTATATTGGGAAAGTTTAGCAAGTTGTCGATAAACGTGCGTGCTACAACGTGTTTTCGGCCAAACGTTTCCTCTAAAAGCTTTAGGGCTTGATGATAACCTATCTCTGGTTCTAGTATAGTATAGCGGCTTTCGCTTCTCCGTTACAGTATTGAATCAAGTAATTTAGCTTAGCTCTAAATCCAATATTCTCACTCCCAATGCATTCTTCGAAATTTTAATGAAATTCCAATAATTTGTCGGTGTACCATCAAAACTTATGACTTCTCTTTTCGGTAAATACGGATTTTTTAATATTGTATTCTCACTGTTGCTTACTGATTGCTCGGAACCTTCACATCTCTGGCAGCTTAACTTTTCTAGTTCAATTTCTTTTTCTAACTGGGTTATGCGCAACCGAGCTAACTCTAATTCTGTCATGCTATTGTTTTTGAGTTCGTTCTTTTCAAGTTGGTCCTCGTCATAAACTCCCGAATGATGGGGTGATAACTCTGGAATCTCATCGGAATCGTAGTATTTATTGGAAGTCATTTCAGTAGGTATATCGAATTTACTGTTCGAAACTTTGTAGGAAGCAATTTCCTACAGGTTTAATTCTGAGCTATTCCTTAGACCATCGAATACAGAGTCTTGGTTTGGCCAAAGCCAGAACAAGCAAGCTATTTGGCTAGATGAACTTTATCTGTTTCTAAAATATAAATTAACATCGTTAGTGTACAAACAAACAGTACGGTCTATTAATACAGGGAAAAACAGAGACAAATAACATATCGAACAGTAGCCAAAGAATAGGGAAAATGAGTCACAAAGCAAATATTGTTTTACAATGAACATCAAACTGTGATTGGTTAATAAAGAGATACAGTCGCACAAGGTCAAAGGGAGTTAATGTGGTGGTGGGCGTTTCGTCTATCGATCACATTTTACAGGTATCCTACTTTTTATTTCCTCATCATCAACGAGAGTAGTCAAGATAAAACATGTCAGGAGTTAGTAAGAATCTATATTTTTTAGCATCAACTAACTATACACTGAAGTTAATCAAAGGGGGCGCACCTTTTAAGTTTTATTTTACATTGAAATATTACTCCGCTTCTGTTACTAAATATTATATATTATTAGTGCTTAATCAATATAATATTGTGGTGTACACTACTTATGTCGGCAGATATAAGTAGTATACAGCACCAGTCGGAAGTGGGATGTCTGCAAGCAGATGATTGAAATGGAAAAAATACGGAATAAAACTCAAAGCAATCAAAACAACAGCAGGAATGGAGGTACTATAAAGTTTGTAAGAGAAAACTGATGGAGGATTTGCAAATGATGTATATAATGTATTGTTTTTATATTTCACGAAGATACTGTAATCTTGTACTTAACAATAAATTGGTTATCTCCGACCAAGTCTTCGTTTGCTACAATATGTGCAAGGATATGAGAAACACAGAATTCGTCAGTATTATAAATTTGCCAAAAAATAAATATCATCTCTGCTTCATTCACTCCTAGGTGTATTGGGCTATGGACTCCGATTTAAATCCATGGGCGGTGAAAAAAGTTGATTTGAAAAATCTTACACAAGAAACAGTTACGTCGTATATAAATGAGATTGAAATGCTTAAAAGTTTGATAAATTCCGACAGAATTATCCGACTATATGATTAGTAAGTTATAAATCACTTTTTTATGTCTTAAAAGTAAAACGAAATATTTTAATCAAAAATTCGAATTCATTAAATTCTTATTTGTAAGATGCATCTTATGTGAAGTAATATAGATCCCTGCTTGTCTACCTTATGGCGTTCCTTTCATTGGGCCTGTGGCTTATTTATTGGTTAATGTGTTCGACTTTTAGCTATTAAGTCTTAGGCTCCTACAATTAATTTTGTTTACGGTTAACTTTGTCAAGACCTTTAATTATCTTATTTAACAGATAGTGTTATTCGAACAGTCTATATTTGTACTATTATGATCACCATCATGTCTGTATAAACGTGTGTGCTTGATCACATGCGACAGCCTACGCACATATCTCTCTCTAGCTTAAATATCGCTCAATGAATCATTCTCTTTCCCATGTATATGTGTGCTTGGTTCGTTTCGCGTCGATTCGATTTGACTCTGAATCCGCGTCTGTATTCGCCTGTTCGCGCGCATTCGCCTGTCTGCTCCAATTCGCTCAGTGTGTTTGTAACTTTGTTGTCTGTAATATTTAATAATAAACTTTAGCCGCCACTACGTATTGCCTTCTGAATTCATACAGCGTTTGGATTTATTTAATAACGGTGATTGATAAACGAAACTCTAAAAAATTTGCACTCCGGTTTGGGCAGCTGGAATATATCACTAGCTCTCACAATTGGAGTACACCTTAAACCCAAGTACCTGGTGATCGAATTTATTTTAGTTTACTACTCATTGACTTGGGAAATTCAAATATTTAATCCATCTTAAGCTTTAGGACCTAAGTGGTGGTCCCTTACTTACTTACTTATGCCTGTTTCTCCCAATGGAGCATAGGCCGCCGACCAGCATTCTCCAACCCACTCTGTCCTGGGCCTTCTTTTCTATTTCCATCCAATTCTTGTTCATTTTTCTCATGTCTATCTCCATTTCTCGGCGTAATGTGTTCTTTGGTCTTCCTCTTTTCCTTTGGCCTTGATGATTCCATGTGAGGGCTTGTCTTGTAACGCAGTTGGATGCTTTCCTCAATGTGTGTCCTATCCACTTCCAGCGCTTCTTCCTGATTTCTTCCTCCGCTGGGATCTGGTTTGTTCTCTCCCACAGTACGTTGTTGCTAATAGTGTCCGGCCAATGGATCTGAAGTATTTTGCGTAGACAATTGTTAATAAACACCTGTATTTTCTGGATGATGGCTTTCGTAGTTCTCCAGGTTTCTCCCCCATAGAGTAGAACTGTCTTGACATTTGTATTGAAAATCCTGACCTTGGTGTTGGTTGACAGTTGCTTTGAGTTCCAGATGTTCCTCAGTTGTAAATATGATGCCCTTGCTTTGCCGATCCGCGCCTTCACATCTGCATCGGATCCACCCTGTTCATCAATGATGCTGCCCAAATACGTAAAGGTTTTTACATCTTCCAAATCTTCTCCGTCAATTGTGATTGGATTGGTGCATTCTGTGTTGTATCGGAGAATCCTGCTTTTCCCTTTGTGTATATTGAGACCTATTGCTGCTGAGGCTGCTGTCACACTGTTCTTCTTCTCCTGCATTTGTTGTTGCGTTTGGGATAGAAGGGCCAGATCGTCTGCGAAGTCTAGATCATCCAACTGCATCTTAGATGTCCATTGTATCCCGCGCTTCCCTTCAGATGTTGACGTCTTCATGATCCAGTCTTTGTTAGATTTTGTTTTCTAACTCCCCTTCACTATATACTATTGGATAAGAGCGAATCTGCTCAAAGCTATGCGAACTTTCAAGTTAGATTCTCTGTGTTTTCTCATCTTTTTAACATAAGCTGATCGTACATTTATTGTCTTGATATTTAACATTTTTACAATTTCTTTTTCAAAAATGTTTAGTCACTGTACATCAGAAAATCTCATACTTGTTATGGAGAAAGGAGATTGCGATTTGAAAAGTGTAATTCTTAGCTTTTGGTCTGGTGGTGCAAAAAAATCGCCTCGTTCACCATCAGGTATGCTTTCATCTGGGATTGTATTCTACTGGGATCAAATGTTGCGGTGTGTGAAAGCACTTCATGATCGTCGTAAGTTTATTTTTGTTGTTAATATCTTGTTGCAATGTAGTTTTTCGGCAGAACGTGTAATGAGGAGAAAATATACTGGATTAAAATTATCGTGGATATTCATAACAATATCTAACTAGATCTAGACAAAATATCGAGAAGAGTCTAATCCGAACAAATTTATAGTTGATTGACTTTAGTTCACTAATGTCTAAAGATATAACAAATGTAAACGAATTAAAAGGTATCTGAAAATAAAATAAAAAACAACCATTTATTATATGTTTATTAAAAATACAAGCTAATTCACTAAGTAGTAGCTAACCAAGTTTAAAACTTTTCTCTTACTCTCCGTTTACAACTAATAATTTCATAGATTCGCTTCTGGGGATCTGTAATTTTCCATACGTGTAAATACCTAAATGTACAATTTTACTATTTAACTAACTTCGAAAATTCGTAGTTTTATATTGTGATATCCTTTGATTATCATTCACTGTTACACAAATTCAATGGTAATAAGTTCTTTGGCATGACCAATTCATTGCTTAGTTTCATTTTTATTTATTTTATGAAATTTTGGATAATTTTATGTAAATCCAAAATAATGATTACTTCTGTCAAGTGTTTTTTATCTTGATTATTTTTTTCGCTACTCATTCTAGGTATTGTTCACTTAGATTTAAAACCACAAAATTTTGTTCTAGTCTATGGACAGTTGAAGCTTATTGATCTAGGGATTAGTCGTCTGTTACCAGATGATTCAACAACTGTAAACCATTGGCTAAAGTTGGGAACATTGTCTTTCATGAGTCCAGAACAGTTGGAAGAAGCTGCTGCTATTCCCTCATCCTCATCTAGCCTAAATCAGTCGTTTTTCTTGGGTCCTGAAGTTGATCAAGAAAATCGTTTTAAGGTTGTTTTTTGTTGTTTCCAAATAATGCATTTATTTCATGGAGATATTTCTATCCTCAGAGTTTACTTTTCTGATATAGATTGCATTCGTATTCTCTTTTTCACAATTTTAATTTTATAATGAAACCTTTCAAGTTAATATAGAATATTGGAAATTTTACTGCTGAGCTGTTGATCAGCGAAGAATACAAAAATACGTGGCTCTTAGCCACATTATTGTGCTACTCGGTTAGTTATAAGCAACATAGAATCTGATGCATATGCGCATTGCTCCATATTACCATCTCATCAACACAGTAAAGTTAAATGATCAAAATAAGTACCAGTGTAGTAGTTTTTAAAGGGTTTATACAAAAAGAATAAACGGATGATTTGATTTGCGAAGAAAGGATAAATTTATGGAATAAAACATGTGAGATAAATTTTGACCACATGATTTGAAGATATACCAAAAGTTAATAGATCTGCGCCACTTTAAATGATCACCCACAGCTATGGGAGCTAGTGGTACTACCCGTTTGTCCAGACCCAAGTAGATGAGGTAGGGTTAGTTATAGAAACTAGCGAACTACTACTTATTGAACGCCAAGTGTTTTAAGTACCAGGCTGTCACCATTCAACTCATTTTTTAGTCGTATCAAAGTATTATATTATCACCATAAAAACAAATTTTTCGTTGGTTATAACATTATGGAACTGAATGATAAACCAAAAGATCTCAGTATTTCTGAAACGCAGGACATATTATATTTCATATTGTATTAGTGTAAACAAATGGTAGCAGTAAATTACACACCACAATCGAAATATTTTCAATAATTACCCTGCCCTTATGTTCATCTAAGCTCATAAAACTCTATCCACAGGACAGCGTACTTACTTACTCCTGTTACTCCTTATGGAAAAGCGTAAGCTGCTCATCAGGACTCTCCATCCAATTCTGTCCTGGGTAGTCCTTTCCAGTTGCTATTGTTCCTTTTCATGTTTGCTTCCTGTTCCAGACGTAGTGTGTTCTTTGGTCTTTTTCGTTTCCCTTCAGGATTCCAAGTTAACGCATATATTGTTGTGCAGTTTGATGATTTCCTCAACATGTGTCCTATCCACTTCCAACGTCTTTACTTAATATCCTCTTCTGCCGGAAGTTGATTTGTTCTCTCTCACAGTAGGTTGTTGCTGATGGTATCCGACCAACAAACATTGAGTATCTTGCGTAGACAACTGTTTATAAATACTTGTACCTTTTTCATAATGGTTGTGGTAGTTCTCCACGTTTTAGCTCCGTTCAGTAGAACTATCTTGACGTTTGTATTGAAGATTCTAACTTTGATGTTGGCTGACAATTGTTTTGAGTTCCATATGTTCTTCAATTGACGGAATGCGGATTTCAAACACTGTTGGGATTCGTATAATAACGGTTATCAAGGTGATTGATTAACAAAGCCAAGCCACTACATTGTGTCCGTAAATTTAAAGCACACCCGTTCAGTGTTCGAAACGTGTGCTATTTTATGTATTTTCCGTTCATTTAGCGTGTGATTGGTGTATGTAAGAGCATAATTTCCACACACGATCTCATTTCAAGTTTTACCTTTCACTTTATTTGCTATTTTTCATCCGGTAAGTCGGAATACGTTACAGTAGCGCGTTCACAAAAGATATACGTAGATAGCTTTTATGTTTGAAATGAAATCCCTAGTAAAGAGCATGGCTATATACATACACTAAGCGTACGAAAAAATGATTGGAAATCCTAGATATTGCATAACTGATCGTACTCACTCCACTTCGCATACGCTAGCGATTACTTCAGATGATTTCTTGAGTTTTTGATATGATGAGAAGGAAGTCAACTCATCGAAGTGGAATTGATGTTTGAAGTTGATAATTTCTAGTCATCTATGATATGTAATTGCAGCTTAAAAGAAATAATTATGTAACTCAATAAATCTTAAATATATTTGTTGGTTATAGACGTTCATTTGTGTAGTTTTCATTACCAATGTTCGACGTGATTATTTCAAGAAAAATTGAACATGAAATAGATTATAAATAATAAAAAATAGTTGGATTTTACAAATAAGTTATAGTTGATTCACGAGTCGATCTAAGCTAGATTACTACTGAAAACCTGGAAGCACTGGATAGCCTAGTATAATACTCCTCAGTAGTTCACACCCACGATCCTGTACACAGGTCTCAAATTCAGGATTTTCGGACACGCGCGCGAACGCCTGAACTCTAGACTGCCGATCCGGCATCCAACGGATATCTAACTTCAATCGATCCATGATTTTGTGCAACCCTTCATCCGTTGTCTGAGATGAATAACTGTCCCACACCGTTCACTGATTAAACTCCACTATCAATGGCTTCTCACTAGAACTTCGTGTCACAAATCTTTGTGAACAGTTTCATATTATAAATAGAAGTGATTTCTCGTGTTTTTAAATATTCTATAAAAGTTTGTTTGTTTTGTTACTACGAAAGGTTGGTCGTAAATCGGATATTTGGTCATTAGGTGTAATCCTTTATATGATGGTCTACGGTCAGTTACCTTTTAATCAAGATAAACTTCACTCTCGTCTATCAGCCATTATAAGTCCCAGTGTAAAAATATCTTTGCCAGCTATCAAGAATAAATCTATTTATAAGGTAAGCAAATGTGACAGTTGTTGTATTTCGTTCTGTTATCTGGTTGAAGAAAAAACAGTATAATTAACAGGTGTCTTTGGTCTATTCTGTGTATAAGATTCTTTCGAATATAAATAAAACCCTGTTTAAATAATCATTATCGAAAGTCGTTAGATAATAATTCTTTTAGTAATGGTTTGATTACTACTACGACTGGAAAAAAGACGTCTATGTTTCCGAACTGTCTATTTTTATCTTATCATTAATTGTAATGTATGGTATTGTTCACTGTTCAGTGATTAATCAACGTAACTACAAATACTCTTGGACAGGCGAAACAATTATAGACAAATATTGACTCTAACCTCAAAAAATATATATTGGTACAAGGAGGCACCAAACAGATATGCGCCACTAATGATTCGGTTTGCGTAAGGTCTGTGATACTGCCCGGGTGCACAAACCAAAGCAGGTGGTTTTCTTAGGGAGTCGAGCCCGGAGCCTTCAACCTATAGGTCTAATCCAAAAAGCAGTGGAACAACAACAGGAGATGCAGTCCCATGGTAGCCGGTGACCAACAATTGGTTCATACGCCATTTGTTCCTTCAGGACTCTGCAGCCCATGTACACCATTGGTTTGGATTCAGGGTTTACCAACTCCCCTAAGTGGACTCTCCATATCCACCAACCCGGTTAAAGCGCCGGACATTCACTTTTCGTCCTCACTTTCGTAAACAACACCCGCCACGAGGAGGTAGTGAGTAGGACTTCCCTGGCAGTGGCTGTATGCACGTGGCCATGTGAGAGCATTTGGAGAGAGAGCTGACTCTCCCTGCTCTCGGCCATATATATATATATATTCAGCTTATGTATTAATTGTTCGATGTGTCAGTCTACGTTCAGTATGAACATAGAAAAAGGCGGACGATTCAACATGACTATGAATTCCAATAACTAATAATGATCGGAGTTAAATTTGAATTCATCAGTCAACTGTGAGGGAAGGAAATTGTAAAATCAGATAATAATCACTGATTAGTATTGTTTTTAGTTTAGATTGTGTATTGCATGTGACAGCAGTGTTGACGGTTAGATTTGATTAGAGATTTATACTATAGATAATAAAACTGGTGTAACTATTGTATAAACTCCTTATCAAAATCAATCTTGTTTATGTAACATCCTAGTACTTTGTTTATCAGGCAACACATATATATTGCGAATTTTCAAATTCATCTTTTCTAACACTTAATTTAACCATACAATGAATGTTCACTTTGATATATGCCGTCGTATGTATCGATTGTCATAAACACCAACGATTAAGTGTATAAATGGCAACTTGATTAATGGTACTTACATAGTTTTATTGATGAACAATTAATCAGTAGCGATATTATTTAAGTTTCAATATTCTGTGAATATCAGGTATTAGGGAATGATGGTAAATCAGTTGATGGGGTTGTGAATCTTCATCGACTGAGATGGTTGGGCCACGTGTTGCGTCGTATGCCTGAACACCGATTACCACGACACGCTATGCTAACCAGTGTTGGGGATGATTGGAAGAAAGTTAGGGGCGGCCAAACCAAAACGTGGCATCAGTGCTTGAAATCACCAACTTCTAGTCTTAGCCATATTGGTAGATACAGACTACTTTGTTGGGGTCCGCGTGACTATCGTAACCAATGGTTGGAGGACCATTGAAAAGCACGGGGAGCATTGGGTGAGCGTATCGTTCTAGTTCTAAATAATGCGCATTCACGCGTTATCGAACTAATAGCTTGCAAGCTGCTCGGCAAGCACCTTATACCTTTTATTTCACGGTTTTCTATTTCATTGGCTATTCCGCTGACCGTGATTCATGGTGAATATTGCATTTAAACAGGTACTGCTCTTTTTTATTGTTATTACATCCATAATATTCTTTTACCGTTTATTTTCTAATTCGTTGTAGGCATTAGAACGGAGTTTAGTTCGAAATCATTTAGAAAGAGCATCTGTTGATGAATTACTGAGTTATGAATATGTGTCTAGTACATCAGCTGCTGACTTATGGTAGTGTTATATTTTACTTTTAATTTCTTAATTCTATTATATATATATATATATATATATATATATATATATATATATATATATATATATATATACAGAAAATATTTGACAAGAGCACCCCAGTTTATATTCATGATTAGGTTTTGATACCAAAAAAGTCCTATGAAGATAGTGAATAATAGCTTGATATTATTTCACATTTATATAATTTTGTTGTAACGTTAACTTATCAGTGTCATATATATTCCTTGTGTTTTTTTCTTTCAAAATTTTTCTAGATGTCTAGAAAACAGTCCGTTATTCTTCAATACCGGGACATATTTTTTTGTATATATATGTACATATTTCTTGTATTATTTTTTTACATTTATAGTTTTGCAACCTATTTATATCATTTAGTAATTTATTTTCCCTTCCTTTGTTCATTCTTTTTGTTTGTCACAATTACTTCCCTGTGTTTACATTGTTGTTTATTTTCTCCATCCAGTTATTTATTTCAGAGAATCTGAAGACTCAATCACAATCAATATATTGTAGTGTATAAGTTTATAGTAATACTTATCATCATACGATTGATTGAATATTTATATCATGAATTGTTTTCTTTTTTATGACGAATAATAAATTATGTTTCACAAACATTTATAACATTTTCTTAGTATGACTTTGTTATACATTGAGTTAGTGATTGTTTAGAAGTTTCAGGTTCCCAATCCAATCACCTAACTAGGTCACACTTCCTACTCGATAGACTTGAATCCCTGTATTTTGGTTTCGTTCACAGTGTAAAATAATCATGCAGCTAGGTCTGACTTTTATGGACTTTTGAGAATGCCCTCAGTAATGATTTAAGTGTATTATCATAAATGAGGGGTAAACTTTGAAGTAAATAAGGTTGGTTTACCCCAATGTACTAAAAAATATTTCTCTGATCTCCCTCGAGGTATGTATTGGACGGACTAATTGTTTTAGTGGTACGGGAAGATATGTGTAGTTTGGTGTTCTATATCATATAATGTCTGTACTTGCCATCGATTTTCGTGAAAACTATCTTCGAAAATAGCTGACTAAACTGAAGTAGATGAAGCTAATTTAGGGATTGTGACTCACTGGTTAGAAAATGGAAGTTTCAACTTATAAGTTATCCCAATACATAGCTACATAAACCTTGGTGTTCACCCTCCGTGTGCTTACATTTGCCTACTTGAAAATATTGACTAGAAATGTATCGTTATGTCAAAGATTCCTACGATGATTGGAACACGGTGTTGTTGGATCAATATGAAACTAGGGGAGTAGAGTTGTCATGTGATCCTACAGTTACTGCAGCGAAGTAAAAAAATGAAACAATTACGCTGCCATAGATTAGATGATCAGCAGTGCGAAGGAGTGATGGGTGACCATTCGAAACTTTCGTGTATGTGCTGCAATATTTTATACTGTTGAGATATTTGGAGACGTCTTTGAATAGAATCACATACTTCGAGCACGAGCTTATCTAAAAAAG